GGAAGTCAAACAGTTCAACCCATGGAAGATAGTGTGTGGAATTTTGCAAGTGAATACAAGACAAAGTGATTACACCATCTACCAACAGAGTCAGGAAATATGAGGATGCTGATCGTTCAGATTAGGGATGGCAATTGATAAGGGATGGAACTATATTACAGTACCTCAATAATATTATTTGGATCTAATTTAAAGACTTAATTTATTAATCTAATTCACTGTAACAGTTGAATACCGTTATTATCAATTCATCAGTTCATTAAGTATAAATAACATTATTCTACAGTCCCTTTCTAGGTCTCAAAATTTTTACTATTTGTTTTTAATAAATTTGTATTTGACCACTCTGAGTGTCGACAATTTATTATTAGTATTTTTCTATTTGGCTCCTCCACTTAAATTCTCTAGTTTCTCTATTGCAATCGAGTCGTATCCTTTCATGTTCCACTTGGGTTATTTTGTGTTTGTATTATATTCGGTTGGTGTCATGTTAGTGTTGTGTTTGGCTTCCGCAAACAAAAAATCAAATTTACTATATGAAGGCGTTTGCAAACTAAAAATCTACCCGATCTACATCCTAAGAAAATGAAGCATATAACCATTTAATTATCTTCCAAGTCATACAATGCTATATTAAGAAATAAAAAAAAAAAGTCGAATAATTTTTTTCACACAATACCAATTAAATGAGTTTATTATGAGTAAATCGATTCATTTATTATTCGTGTTATCAGTCTCATTTTCGGATGTTGTCTTGAAGTCGACATGTCAAAGAAACTTGCGCCACTTAATCAAGACTTTTGATTCTGGCCATGAATGTAGTTTTCATGAGCCAAAAAATAGGCCCCAGGACAACTTGCTTTTAGACATACCATTTTGATTAGATGAGATTAAATGTGAATACAGATTCGCATACCAAATTTTTTACTAAATATACTTTACCAAATGATCGTAGATGATTGGATGAATTGGTACTATTAGAAAGTTCATAGGACCCACTAATCCAACACTTGGTATAAACTTGGTTAAGTAAAATTTGATAAATATTTTGATAAAAGTAGCAATGTTCGTTAAATATTAGTATGCTAATATTAAAGAGAAGGTTGGGCCAAAAGCATAAAAATCTTTTTAGAACACAAGATCTTCTATTATGATACTAATTATCATGTTAAATAATCATCTTATCTGCAAGTTTAAATGATTAGAAAGAGTGTAATTCTAGTATTTATATGTCAACAGTCTGTACCTGAATTTGCCTCGAATCCTCATGCTGGACAAATGTATGTCTTCTGACCTCCCTCATAATTTCTTCATCTTCATGACCAGATTCATCCACAGAGGGAAAGTCCGAGAGATCTAATTCCAAGCTCTCTTGTTTATTCTCAAGGTCCCCATCAGCTTTCTGATGAGTTCTTGACCCACAAACCACCATGGACATGCCTTTAAAAATCATTCCCAGAGGTTTGATGAACAGTCGAAACAAGAACTGAGAAAGAACCAAAGGGAGAGAGAAGAGGCACAATATGGGTAAGAGTAGAAGGAAGGGAAGAGAGATACAAATGAAAGTAAAGAGGGTGAATGGAAGAAATAATAAGAAAAAAAAGAGAGTTGCAGTCAGCTTTGAGGTTAGCGACGAGATAGGATTAGGAAGTGGAACCATAAGTGAAAAGGCCTTGCTTTTTCAATGTCTTGAAGCAGCACTCTGTGTTGGATTCAAAGATAATGTATTGAGAGAGAGAGAGTAGGTGTTTGCTCGTGTTTGACTCGGCGGCAACAAACAAGTGTTTGACAGTTTGTTGTCGTGTATAATAGTTCGGTATAAGGGGTTGCAACGGGCCGGACCAATCTAACCCATCATGCAACGGTCCATTGGTTGGTCAAGAAAGGATCACTAACCTACCTACCGGGCTAATTACCATACATGGGCTTGCACGGGAAGTGCCAATCAGCCCAATCCATGACTGATGGGCCATGCCATTAGTAGTAGGACTCCCGTGTCATGTTTAAGACTCTTGTGACTAGAAGTATTAATGGAGTTGAATTTGAGTTTAATAATTCGATTATTTATATATAAACGAGCAGGTTTGTTTGATTATTTACACATTAACAAGCTTAAAAAAATCTTCAAGCTTGGCTTGATTAACAGCCCTACTAGTGATTCGGGAAAAAATTATGGGTAATGGTACATAAATTTAAAAAGTAGACTTAAAAACTAAACTTGATAATTTCAACTATTGATTTACCTGTGAGTCCCAACATTTATTGAGATTCACTACCTATTCAATGGTTAAGATTATTAAGTATAGTTTTTAAATTCATCTAACATTACTCAAAAATTATATACATCAGATTGTGTTAAAATTTATATAACACAATATCTATATAAGATCTATTAATTTGACGGGTGCAACATGTTTATTCTTTAATCACTTAAATTAGCAAATTTTAATTCAAACTCAAACCCAATAATTTTTTATCAGTTTCCTGTCGAATTTGACTATCATTTTTTAGAATTTCAAGACGTCTTCATGACCTAAATGCATTGATGAAGCATTGAAGCAACTCATCAAAATTTGAATGATGATGACATGAACCACTATAAAGTGGCATCTCTTTTGCATCAATTAAGACCACCCTTTTGGTCACTTGGGCTCCTAAACGTGACCTAATAGCAGTTGGTGAACCCGTGCATCACATTGTTAATGGGTGTGGTCAATGGTAAGTGGTAAGTACACAATAACAAGCACTACAACAACCAAAAAAAAAAAACTTTTTACTTAGGAAAACTTCCGTTGGAGAAAATAAAAAAGTCATCACTAAAAAGTTCGTATTTTTCACACTCCGCACTCTAAAAGATTTTAAGGTTCTTATTTTATACCTTCAAAAATTAAATTTTTCACATTATAATCTCAATGTATCAAAGTGTTGTAATATGATCTTTCTATTAGCTTCCGTTATTTTTTTCATCAAAAATCAATTCATTGACACTAACGACAAAAACTAAAAGAAAATTAATAAAAAGATCACATTACAACACTTTTGATATATTGACGGTACAATATAAGAAACTTAATATTTAAGAATGCAAAATAAAAAAAACTTGAAATCTTTCAGGGTGCAAAGAGAAATTAACCCTAAAAGTTAGGGCAACCAAAAGTTGACAGCGGTAAAAAATTTTGCCGACAGAATTCAATTTCCGAGGATATTTTCACTGATAATTTCTTTGTATTTCGTGGTTAATTACTATAATTCGTAAAAAAAAAAAATAGTTAAGGAAAAGCATGTCACAGTCTCACCCAAGGGATACAATATTGGTGTCAATTCAAAGTGTGATTGCACTTAATGTGATAGCTGAACAAACTAAACGCCCAATAACAATGAGATAACCGAGTAAATATTTACTCATTCCAACGTTGAATTGAATCACATCAATGCGAATTATTCCTTCTCTTCTTAAATATCTGTCGTTTAAGAGTTTTATATCGAGATTAAGAAAGCTATTAAATAGCTCTAATACGAGTAAAAAATAATTATACAAGACTAAAATACTCTTATTCAATACGTATTAGGAAGGAAAAGAATATGAAAGGCACTTAGCCTACACCTAATCTAATGCATTGAAAAGTTAAGGGTATATTTGAAAGAAAAAATATTAATTATGTTTTGGTTTCATTAAACGACAAATATTATGAAACAAAAAAAATTACGTAAAATGAAAAATATTTAAAAACGGAGAGAGTACTATACAATAACAATAATTCATATGGGTAATTCAAATGTATTGGCTATCCATGATAGGATGATATCATAATTGTACCAAATATTTACTTGTGATGTACAAGTTTTGTTTCCAGCAAGTCATACACAAATTCAACAAGTCCTAGCAGGTAAAGTTTAGTAGGCTAAAAGTGGTCAGAGTTGTTATGATCAGTTGGATATAGCATTGGAAGACACAGTTTTTTGGCATATGATCATTTTCAGTGGCTTCAATTGTGCACCAATGTGGTTTAGATCATGATAGAGAAGAATAAAATGACTCGCTGAGTTGGGTTCTCCTGACTGCTTTTGATTTTATTTTTTTTCCAGGAAACTAAGATTACACATTTTGATTTGGACTTTAGTATTTGTTTATGATTTTTTTTTTTTTTTTTTGTTTAACGGGTAGAAGTTTTCGAACAAATTTATGCAAATCTTGATTAATCTCCACCATCTACGTCATGACTAGAGTATCCGTCAAAGATAAATACCTCATAGTTTGGTCTCAAAAAGTTGCTAAGATTCAAACTCAGGACGTCTGAGTTTACAACTCGTCCCTGGTTACTTATTTATGATTTATGATTACATATGTTGATCTAATCCACTGCAGTTCACGATCAACTCAATTCAACTTCCGACTTGCTATTAATCTAATGATTATAATGAATTAGCTAAGTAAATTATGTATTATTTTATTTGGATAGGAGTATTTATCAAAATTACGGTAACCATAAAAGATAAAAATTGCACACAAAACAACCCGGCTACTGTTGTCTTCCACCAATTTGTGTGTTAAGGATTTGAGTTACCAGATAAGTTACATACATTTAACTTTTTTCAAACTATAAGAGTCTCGTGTAATAGATCGTCTTTATTTATAAAGATATGATCCAAAAAACCCTGGTATCCTAATTATTTCTGATTCCAAAACAAGCCAGGATTTGTACTCTGCACTATTGACTTCTAATTGTAAAGTCACACCCTACCTTATATTATACACCTATATAAATAGATACCTAGATCTTCCTAGCTCAAATGCATCCCAACGGAGGAGAAAACTAATGGTGTGTTGTTACTGTTCTTCTACTTGTTCATGTTATAATGTTCTGTCCAGAACCATATAGTATGTAAGTGTTCCATGCATGCATGGCCTTCACGAGTGAGTCCTCATCAGATTGGACATGTCTTCCCGACCTCCTTCTTGATTCAATTCTTGATAAATTGGTTTCTCTCCCCGACCAACTCCGGCTAAGCCTTGTCTGCAAGCCATGGCACTCTGTTGTGATTCACCATCACAGGCATCGGCGTATCGACATGAATCGGAACCAAATCCCATTGCTCATGCTCCCTCCTAATAATATTCCTGCTGAAGAAGGACGCAGTTTATACAGTGTCACGGAGAATAAATCATTTAGTTTCAAGATTCCATTCTTTTATTGTAAAAGAATTTGTGGGTCTTCACATGGTTGGCTTTTCACTGTACAAGACAACACGGATTTGGTCCTCATCAATCCTTTCTCCGATGGGAGTAGTAGTCCTATACGACTGCCACCGTTTCAAGAACTGCCCGGAAATCAAGATCGAATTCCAGGTGTGTTTGAAGTTGTGAAGGCTTCACTGACGGCTGACCCTTTACTATTTCCAGATGATTATGTAGTTGTGGCAATCTATGGTGCCTCCAAAAGTTTGGCATACATTAAATCAGGTGATAAAAGTTGGACTCATCTCCACATACCATACCAATGGTTCAGTGACATTGTCAGTTATAGAGGAAATTTATATGCTGTGGACCATTGGAATAGGGTCATATCCATTGATATTAATGGAGTTAGTGACAGTGCCTCCGGTGTAAAAGTACTTGCACCAAGAATGTCATGGTGTTCCGATTCGACCTATATTGTGGAATCATCTAGAGGTGATCTCTTGATAGTTCAAAGGTTTCTAATTCGGATTAAATCGGATGACAATCGCCATGTGACTTATCGTTTCAAGATTTTCAAGTTGCAGTTCAATCCAAATGAGGAGGCAGAGAGGGTTGAGGTGAAGAGTCTAGGTGGTGATGCCCTATTCTTAGGTGATAACCAGTCCATGGCTGTTTTGGCTTCTGATTTTCCGGGATGCCGACCAAATTGCATATACTTTACCGATCATTATTTGATGGTTGCACATCCTCCTCCGGTTTACGGCCGCTGTGACTTGGGCATCTTCAATGTTGATGATGGTAGCTTCCAAGGACTCTGCAATTTAGATTGTTCACAAAAGCATTTGGTGCCTGCAATTTGGATTTTGCCAACTCCTTCCTTGCACTGATCACTTGTAATTTTGATTCGTTTTTTTTTTGTGGTCAGGTGTCGAGTCAGTTCACGCATTTCTCGACTAATCCCTTCACCGATCTGATCAAAGACAGGTGATTCACATCAAGACTAAGAAATTCACGAGACATTGTGTTAATGTTTGGCAAGAATTGTGGTTAAGATTTTGAGTTTTTTTTTTCCTTTACTATGTCAAAGATTTAAGAATAAAGATTAACATATGAACCTTTTGGTAGTTACTGTACTATAATCTTGCTCCTGGGCATGTCTGTCAATTGTGCAAGAATAATATCATATTAATACTAGATATCAGAGAAAAGGTCCGTCCAGAGATCTAATTTTCATCCGAATCTAATGAGTTTGAAATTGATTAACTGAATATAAGTTAACTTTTCGACCAAAAATCTGAATTAGAAGTCAAGTCCGTTATAACATTATAGGAATTAAACCGTATTTCATAAATTCGAAGTTGAGTATACCACTATTGGTTGTAACGTCATCGGATCTGTGTTTATGATCTGCACACATAAATAGATGATGAAATGGATTTTAAATACGAATTTAATTTGCTAAAATTCTGTTGTAGTTAAATTATTCGGGTTGGGTCCCATTTTCATATCAAATTGTCAATTATCAACTTACTCGGATATGAAACATGAAAATGATTAGATCATTGAATTCAAACCAATAAAAAATCTGCCTTTAGACAAGAATATATACACAGAAGGCCAAGGTAAAGGTTACTGATATTTCTCTCTTCTTTTGCTCATTGTCCATTGCCTTCTATTTTAAATACCATGATGAATTAATCCGGAACAGAGCCTCGTGAAGGCAGAGGTTTTGCAACTGGTCCTTTTGTCATGCCTTTTGATTTCAAGTCTCCAAGATTCATCTTGACATGGGAGGGATTGGATGTAATCGTGACATCATGTCATCATTGTTACATTAGCATTGCAAGTGATGATACCCAAAATATACTTAAGGTTGAGTTCGGTCAATCAACTCGGACATTCCAAGTTCGGATCACTCAGCTCATTATGAATAGCCAAGGGAGTTTAGGTCAGCACCTCCTCCCTAACAACTGCACCTCCACAGGAATAATAAGGATGACAGCTGGCTTCCACCCAAATACTACACATATATTGTAACGGTCATATATTTGGGCAAAGAAATTGTAACGGTTTTATATTTGGGTAAGGAAGTCATAACCGTCTCAGCGATGTCTATGACAATCGCATAAAAGACGTAACCATTAGAAGAAGACAAAAATCACGCCAAGGATCAGGCAAGGCCTTAGAAGGCTATAAATAAGAGGCATATTCCTCACAATGAGACACAAACAATTAGCCTAAGCATTATTCTGTGTAAATCCCCATTTTTTCAATAATGTCATCTTTAGGAGCAAGAGACTCTCTTGACAATGAATTAGTCGAGCTCCCCAAACTGGTGAAATACTATAAACTCTCTGTGTGCAATTCTCCACTTCCCTTGCTCAATTCTTAAGAGCCTAAGAGTTCCGACTAATTCATTCAGTGACCCACTAATTCCTAAATATCATAAGCTCTGTTCAATTGCGTGACATACACCATCAACAAGAATTTATTTTGATAACTTTACGATGGAGAGCCAAATCCAAAAAAGTTATGGTCAAGAAGCTATGTTTGGTTGTCAGGCTTCCCTGTTTCATGGGCTCTGAGGAATTTCAAAAATTCATAGCAATCTAAGCAAGGATACTGTGACATTAAAAAGGATAGTCATGGAGTCCATTACCTAAAAGTTGTGTTTCAAGATGATATCACCCGAAGAGCAAAAAAGATCTGTTGGTGTGCATGATCAGTTGGCTAAGAGAGTACACTTGTTTCTTTCTTTTGTCCAGTCTTTCCATTGTCCATATTTGCTTAGACATTGATGATACTACTTGTCACCGATGACGACATTGTATAAAGGAAAAGAGTGCTACTTAAAAAATTATTTTAAAAGTGAAAAATCAAGAGAATACTTAAAATAAACTAAAACAAACCTTATTTGGATATTATTGTTTGAGATCTAGATGATTAAGTGTCATTCTTCCTTTTCTTTTCAGTCAATTCTTACTTACTGCCCTGTTTTTAAGACAATTTCTTTCCTAAAAGTCATATACTTGGACCAAAAACTTCTCATGTGAGAAAGTAAAGTTCACTAGTACTCTTAAGTCCTAAATATCACACATAGATATTGTACACTTTTCACAAATTTTTTTGAAAAAAACTATCTTATGTGCCTGACAAATTAGTGTTATAATAGTTTCTCATTGAGTTCATGTAAACCACTTGGATCTTCCACACAGTGTGTTACAAACACCAAAATATTTTTTGTTAGGAGCAGCCATGACTATGCAGGTAGAGAGATCAAGAATCAAGATCCTCGTAAGTTGGTTTAGGTCGAAAAATTTGGCTCATTATAGCTAAGAATATCGGTTGATTAAGATTTGACAGTATTACCACAAATGTACACCTAATTCCCAATATAAATACATTAACTTGCAAGTAATATTGGTTCCCACCTAATCCAAGCATGTAGTTTGTCCTTTGTGGGAACAAATTACAAAGTGTTGGGGAGGGGGTGGGGGGGTTGAGACCACTTTGCCTGCTCTTGAAAAATTAAAAATAAAAAAACAAAAAATGCCCATAAAACAAAGTGAATGATCCTCAAAAGCACAAGTAGGGCCTTAGTTTTCAACAAAACTTAGGGTTTTGTCCCTTAATGTCTGCCACAACCAAGCTTGAAGACGACAACTTCCCCATTTCCCTAATCACCATATCATTTTTTTTCCCTCAGAAACTCAGTCCAAAAACTTTGTTCTGTACTTTCAGAATGAAATCAAATATATAGATATAGATATATATCCCTGTTTCATGGACCAACAGGCAGAGACTGGTTGTGTATGGGACGTCGTCTTCTAACGTAGGAATAATCCATGGTAAAATATTTTGAAGTGTCTGTCCTTTCCACCCATTCTCTCCATGTCCCTTTTCTTGAATGCTTCATATTTGCTTCTTTGAGATGAAGCTTAACTGGACATTAAATATTAAAGAATCCATAAGAATGAAGAAATTGATTAATATATATATATATATATAGATATATGTTGAGGCAACTTCATGAAAGAATGATTTATTGTTTGAAAAATGTACTATATAAGCTTCTAGATCGTGTTAGATTCTATTTTGATACTAAGGTATATTTCACTACATTAAAGAAATAGTCTTGGCAGCTAGCTAGTGTGCTTGAAATGGGTCGCTTGCAGAGTTAAAGAGGAATGTATTTCATTCTAACCACACCCTTTGTAGGCATAAATACAAGACAAATCGTATAAGTGCATACAATTATCCATAAACCATGCGCTTCAGGTGTGGTGAAGCAATACAAACACACCCAAATGAAGAAATTACTAAGATTCGCTTAAGAACCACAAAATTATCAACCGAATGAAAAGGGAAGATATAGAATATTCAAATTTACGTGGTACAAGTCAAAATTTTTGTCTATGGAGGTAGCACAAAGGAGAAAGTATACTATCATAGATGAATTATAAAGAGTTCGATCTCTTAAACTAAAATCACAAATCAGGTAACCTAAACTGTCCTGAGTTCACAACATTTATAAAACACAAAGACTCTTGTTTCCTCCCATATAGTTAGGTTTTACAAATCCTGGAGGGATGAACATTTAGAACAATCAGCATTCTCATAATGGTTTTAAATTCCAAAAAAAAAAAAGGTCAAAATAATTGCTTTGACTGCAGTCCCTCCCCTCCGTTCCATGGACTAAGGCTCAAAAACATTGTCAACTAGGATTCATGTCAAGCGGAACGGAATACAAATCATCCACAACAAACAAGAACAATTAGTTACAACTCAGTGAGAGGAGCAATTTCATGCTTTAAATTAAGGACCGTGCAGGATGGAACTCGAAAGGCTTATTCAAGATTGCATATTCCATACTGTTTCCATAGAAGTGAAAGAATAATCCAACTATTTCAGGGCCATTTAAGTATCTAAATTCGTGACATTGCATACACAATCTATGTTAAAAACATTTTGATCCTCCTGCTGGTAAATGACTAATGCATGTGTATACTTTGAGGTTTCTTATGTTTTAAACAACAATGCCATATGGCCCATAACCCCATTACTTTCATCTCTGGAAGTTTAAGAGCAGTGAAGTCCATGTTTTGTTAACTGTATATATAGTGAACAACTTAGTCCATGAGCAAGCTTGATAATAGATGCTTAATTACCTGATGAAACTTGGTTTCGCTTGTTGTATGGCACCAAGTCTTTATCTCCAGAATTTGTGATCACCTGTTTTGACAGGAAGAAAATATAGTTTATGGTTTTTTTGAAGAATGTATAGGGTGTGACAAAGGTTATACACTTACTTTCTCTGTGAGCTTGAGCTTCCTTGGGAGTGTATGGAGATTAAGCTGGATGTCATGAGCTGCACAGAGTGTAAACATATATAAGATTAAGAGTGAGTGTGTGTGTGTGTGTGAGAAAGAGAGAGAGAGAGAGAGAGTTATTACCATTACCTTGTTCATGGGATGATTGCAGCTGAATTTGATGAGAATCACAGGTTGTGAGCACAACTGAGAGACCAATACAAAGCGTAGTGATGACAATTTTGAGCTCCATCGCTCAGAAGAGTAGCATGAGAGATTTTCTTTTATAGTTGTGAGTTGGAATTTATATCAATCAATCCAAGTAGGCAAAGCTGACTAGATCTGTGTGAGTGTGTAAGAGAGAGAGAGAGCATACACAAAGCACAGAATGGAGAGTTCCAAAACTAGTACAGGAAAGAAACCGATATTTATACTTCCCACCACGATGCTAATATTGTTAAGTGGTGTACCCGTCCAAAGTTTAGAGACTAGTTTTTATCACCAGTTGATGGACTTGTCATAAAACTAGAAAAAACGTGTATGCATGCCATGAAAAGGCCAACACGGGTATTGACCAAATAAGAGCATGTATACAGTTATATTATATATTGAACTCTCAACTTTTAAATGCCGGAAGATACTAATGAGTTATCTAATTTACCATGTCCACAACTGATTACATGTATTTTGAGTTTATATTGTAATTACAAGTTAAAAAAAAATGTTTTATTGGGTCATTTTTGGTTTAAAAAAATTATATGTTTTTAGGTGGAAATTATATTTTTACCCACGGATTCAGATCCAATTTGGTAATTGATTCACTCATTTCCTTAACGTCAGATTCCGTTGCATTAATGCCAGGGGTGATAATTTTCAATCATATACATTAACACGATACAAACATAATATAAAATTAGTAGGTTATGATCGACAAGATCTCAATAAAAAAATCGAATAAAAAACAACCCATTAAAATACAATAGTGTAAGAGTCATAACTATGTCAAATACAAATCACTTGACTTTGGCAAAACAAATTTGTTTAGATAAAAAAAATAAATAAATAAATTTCTTACCTTAATTCTTTGTATATAATATTTTTTACTTTATCAAGTTGATTTTACTAAAGCTGTGATTGGCAAATTTGATTGAGAAAGTCCCGAAATTTTTATTCACAAGTTACAAGTGTCAACCTGAACACTATCAATTCACATCCTCTCTAATACATTATTTTTTTAATTTTTTTTTGACACATTATTCACCATTAATGAGTGAGGGACCTACTTGTATATAATGGGATCCACTTAAATGCATGATAGATGATGTGCCAAGAAAAAAATTGAAAAAAAAATGTATTAAACAGAATCTCACTCTGCATACGCAGTGGGTGGGGACTTTAACGAGGTCCACACTTTGAGTCCATCGCTATCTACTCAAGTTTATTAAAAAATCAAATGTTTGACCTATCACAATTCACCTAAATCTATTTAAAAAAAAAATATTGGTGTAACATTAAAAACAAAACTTTTGGCCCCCTAAAATTTTTTTTTGCTTCATATTAAGCATGTATTTTTTGAAATAAAATTTAGACATATTTAATTGTATCCACTCTAATATTGTGTTCTGGTGATATTAATTTGAATAGACCCCTACCTAAATGATTATTAACTTTTTGAACAATGTTATTGAAACCTAATTTTATGACCTAATACATTGCGATATTAAATATAATAGTGAGTCTTAATATTTAATAAACTCTACTATTTATCCAATGGTCACAAATCACTGGGTCTCCATCAATTAAATCTCAAATTAAGTACAACTAATATAATTGCTAACTTTTAGACATGTCCGAATATGTTTTTGAATATATTGATATTATTTTTAAAAAAATTTAAATTGTAGGGTTATTTCGTTATTGCATAAAAATGTGTGTCGTTATGTAGTAAACTATAAGATTCTAAATTGAAGATTATTACTGCAATTTTATATATAAAAAAATATTGTTGATAAAATTAATTTGTAACTCTTTCAAATAATAAAAATATATTAGGATCAATTATAAATAATAATAATTAGTTGCATTCTCGATAAGAAGTTTTAATTATTATTTTTTTGTTCATGTTATGTATATTGATTTTAAATTTTTTATGTTTTAAAAGTATTAAATATAATTTTAATAAATATAAATTTATAAAATTTTACAGTCTATTAAAAAAAAAATTTAAACATACTAGTGTGCCACCTAAAAAAATTTTCTAGCTCCGCCCTATTTCTCTAATGCTAATTTGGTTTCTCCATAAGTTTTCCAAAACAAGAAACTCAACACCGATCTGGATTTTTCGATGAGTTCTCCGACGAAGATCTACATTTCTGTGTATATATATTTATATAATAAAATAGCTTTCAATTCATATCTCAAAAGATAAACAAAATAATTTTTGTTATTCGTAGTTCATATCACTTTAAATTTTATTTTAAAATTAATTTAACGACTAATATTAACACTCTAAATTTAATAGGAAAAATAAGCCCCTAAGAATGTGTTTGGAGTGACTTTTTAAAAATACTTTTAAAAATTATTTCTCATAAATACTTTTAAAAAAATAGTGTTTGGAACCGCCCCACTACTACCTCTACTACCACCACCACCACCACTACAAACCGATGTTTAAATTCTTTTATCTTTTCTCTATGGTTGTGATTTGATTTTAAATATGAATACAAATATGTTTATTATTTACTATTTTTTATTATTATATGTTTTCAGGCACAGACAATAACTAATATATATTTATATAATAAAATAACTTACAATTCAAATTTTAAAAAATAAACAAAATGACTTTTGTTATTCGCAGTTCAGATCACTTTGAATTTTACTTTAAAGTTAATATAACGATTAATATTAACACCCTAAATTTAATAAAAAAAAATATGTCCTTAAAGGTGTGTTTGGAGTAATTTTTTAAAAGTATTTTTAGAAATTATTTCTCATAAGTACTTTAAAAAAAATAATAGTGTTTGAAATCGTCTCACCACTACATCTACCATCACCACCCCCACCACCGCCACCACCACCATCGCCGCCACCATCACCACCGCCACCCTGGTCATTGCCACCCACCACAACTATCATCGTTTCCTATCACCACCACTGCTGCCCACTACCTCTCACCCCCACTACAAATTAATACTTAAATTTTTTTATTTTTTTTATGTTTGTGATTTGATTTTGAATATAAATCACAAATATGTTTATTGTTTACCATTTTTTATTATTGTGCATTCAGGCACAAGTAATAACTAGTATATAATAAAACAGCTTACAATTCAAATCTCAAACGATAAATAAAGACTTTTGTTATTCGCGGTTGAGATCACTTTAAATTATATTTTAAAGTGAATCTAACGAATAATATTAATACCCTAAATTTAATAGAAAAATAGGGCCATAAAAGTGTGTTTATAATGACTTTTTAAAAGTATTTCTATAAATTATTTTTCATAAATACTTTTAACAAAAAAGTGTTTAAAATCACCCCACCACTACTTCTACCACCACAGCCGCTACTACCACCACTATCGCTGTCACTGCCACTGCCACCATCACCACCATCATCGTCACCACCACCACCGCCACTACCACTGCCATCGCCGTTAGCAGTGCCACGACCACCACTCCCACTACTGCCACTACCAACGCCGCCACCACCAACGTCGCCACTGTCGTTGCCGTCACCATCGCCACCACCACCACCATCGTCGGCACCACCACCACCATCGTCATCGTCACCACCATCGCCGCCACCAACACCACTGCCGCCGTCACCACCACCACTATCGTCGTCGTTGTCGCCGCCACCACCACCGCCGCCGCCAGCCACCAACCATCACAGTCGCCCTTGCCGCCACCACAGTCGTTGCCACCCACCACAACCATCACCATCTCCTACCACCACCACTGTCGCCCACCACCTCTCACATCCACTACAAACTAATGTTTAAATTCTTTTATCTCTTCTCTATATTTGTTATTTGATTTTGGATATAAATACAAATATATTTATTATTTATCATTTTTTATTACTCTATACCTTCAAACACACGCAATAATTAGTGTGTGTATATATATATAATTGCAATTCTAATTTTTATGAGCTCTTCAATTTTTGTTCAAATCTGGAATTGAGGTGTTGCCTTTCTAGTTGGTTTGATTTTGGTTCATTTCCAAAAAGAAAAATTTAGGAAATTTTGGACAGTCTTGATTTGTAACCGTCCAATTCATGAAAAATCCTAAACACAGAAATTTGACCAAACATGTTTTTTGTTCTTTTTTTTAAAATTTTTTAAACGTAAATAACTATCATTTTCTGTTTTCAATTTTTACCAGGAAAAAATAGACAAAAACTGTTTCTATATTTAATTTTTTTGAAAACAGAAAAACAAAAACATTACCAAATGCATCCTCAATTATCTCTACCTAATTAACTAACATGGAACACACAATATTCAAATGAATAACCCACCAGTTGACAATGGATGTTCCAAGATTGAAGGAATCAAACATTGGATAGCATCCTAATCCAATTCTAACCCAATTACAGCACAAATCATAAAGCCCCATATTCACTTTTTAGTACCGTACCTTCACTTGAATTGCGGTGTCATGCCGTAGCCTAATCGTTTATTTTATAGGTCACAATAACAAAGCATAAGATAACAGAACAATGAGTCAACTAAAACCAGTAACTAAGGGTGCGTTTGGTAGCAAGATCAAAGCCTTTAAACTATTCTGTATTTAAGTATGACAATTAAGAACAAACCCGGTATTCGGAGAAAAAAAAAACCCATCAACATATTCATTAATTACCTCTAAAAGTCAAGGCAGCTGAACATTAATGGAAAACCTTACAGAGCATAATGAGAAAAATCTTTATTACTCGACTAGATTTTGCTTGGCAACGAACATTTTTTTGCAAGTTAGCTAACAGTCTGTAAGAACATGCCAATGAATTAGAAAGAAAGATATGTATGATACCTGGACAAAGTGGATGAAGATGGAAACAGATATATGACATCTATTATAGATCACAACTCAAAGTATGACCTTGTGAACCTACTGCAAGTGACACACCAAGCCTAAGAGGTAATCGGGATGTATATTTACGATAATCAATTGATTATAAAGTAAAATGTTGATAATTGGTATATTTGAACTAGGAACCTATGATAGAATAGAAGCATTTTAGAATCTACAGCACAGAAGGCCCTGCCTCCAGCCCGTATTTTTACGAAAACGTCTCCGGTCTGCTTTTGCCATTCTTACAGGACTGCTATTCCATTCAGGCTGTAGTCTGTATAAAAAAGAAAATAATACAAATTAGTTACATTGAGAATTTACTATACCGGTATAGTAAATGAATAATAGATGCTAATGGCTTACATGGGGAAGGCGAAGGACCGGGTGCTGGTTGTGCTGCTATCTGATCGAAGAGAAATGCTACCTGAAAATGCTATCGACCCAGAGTATGTTACCAGACCCGACACTGGACCAGCCGTAGAGAAACTTGACTCTCCTCCACCACGTTGAACTTGGCTAGCAATTGAAAGATTATCAGAAGCCCCATCATCATGATTGTGCAAAATTTGTGACTCGAAGGGTTGTTCATGAACATTTTCTGGATTCTCATCTCTGCCACTTGCAGCAGATTTAGAAGAGTCGAAATACAAGGTAATGATTCCACTGTCCACCTTGCTGTTGTAAGATAAGTTGTCAGCTGAATCATTCTTGTCCAAGTCTTCAGCTGCTGATGCCATGACAGGGCTGTCTAAGACTGCTTCAGCACATGAAATCTGCACCAGCAACAATTAAGAGCCTAAATCAAATTCCAAGGTAAGTCAGAGCACTATCATGCATGCATATCATTCTTTTAAAGTAAACTTTCAGGTACCGACTTATTGAAAGAGGAAGGGCCCAGTAGTCTTAGCATTCCAACCAAATGATTTATAGCAGCAAAATTGGATAAACCTTCTAAGACTTCTAATGTTTTCAGACCTAAAATACTAACGAGCCAAATGATCAATTGCATTAAGAAGGGGGAATATTAGTTTTCTGTATTTGGAACCTATGAGCTTGTCAAGCAACCAATCTCAGGTTCTATACATATTCGCATCACACAGGTGAAAAGGCACCAAAAGTGATATTGAAAGAAAATGATGCATAAGCTCTTCTAAAGACCACTGAATAAGCAGCTCAGTGGAACAATTCATCACATACAAAAATGGGGCCACACGACAAATACCCAATACAAACCTGTGCAGAATGTTGTTTAACTTCATTGCCATCATTATCAGAAGATTCGAGGAGTGACTTTAGAGATTTCTGTGAAGCAAACTCTAGCTGGGGAAGCATGCCACTGGAAAAAAATTCCTCTCTCGATGCATCATCCCTGAACTTGTCAGTTGCATTACTATCTGCTTCACCGATTTGAATTGAATCCCCTGGACCACATTCCTTAGCAGCATCCATGTCTATACCATCTTCTGACGAAGATTTCAACTCATCTGGAATGAACAATTCAGTATCCCTTTTTTCTTTCGTCCAACTATCTTTGGCAGAATTGTCATCACAATCCTTTTCTGATGAAGATGTCAATCCATTTGGAACAAGCAACCCTATATCAGCGCTTTCTCTGACCTCAGCAGTTTGTTTATTTTCATCACAAGGCAGGGAGGTGTGAAGACCTTTCTGATCAACCTCACTATTTTCAGTCAAGATCTTGTCCTCACAAAACACCCCTTCATCAATGCAAATGTCCTTGACAATTTGATAAGTGCTCTCTCTGTAACAAACTATCAACTCCGGCAGATCACATTCCATTACATTTTTGTCCGTATATAAATCTGTGTCCTTGTCAAATGATTGTGAATGAATGCTACACGGTGCCACAGAATCACTATATTCATTTTCATTACCATTGGTGAAATCATCCACAACAACAGTGCATTCAAGTTCTGGAGTACTCCACAATTCCTCTCGTTCGTTTGTCTCTGATACTAAATCTGTGACCTTCTGAAATAACTCCAAATGAATGCTACACGGTGCCACTGAATCATTATTTTCCTTTTCATTTCCATTGGTCAAATCATCTACAACAGAGGATTCAAGTTTTGTAGTACTCCATAATTCATCCCTGTTGTTTGTGTCACATGCTAATGAATCTTCATCCCTCCCGCAGTCATTTGATTGACACAAAATACCACTCTGATTTTCTTTCAATTGGGAATCTCTGATTTTGTCATCACTGTAAGCAAAATCATCCACAGCCACAGAGCACTTAAGATCTCGAGTTTTCCAGAATTCATCTTTATCCTTCCTCTCCGATGCTAACATATCAACATCCCTTCCATAGCCATTTGAATGGTACAATATTCCATTCTGATTTTCCTTCATGGTTCCCTTTGGTTCAACTATATAAAAAGCATTGTCGTAATATTCAAACGGTTTAGAATCATGCTTAGAGACTAAAGTTGAATGAAAAAACACAGGTCCGTTATCCGCAGGTACAATTAAATTCTCAATCCATGTCCAAAGTTTGGAAGTTAAAAAAAAAGCATTCATTTAGCTCTTAAAATGCATAAAATCACTAGTTAAGGATCAATGTATATTGAAAGAGTATGCATGACATTAAACTGAGCAATAAATGTAGACAGGATATGGTGCAAGCATTAAATTCAATATCAGGAAACTAACGTCTTAATGGGGCGAGCTGTGTGATCGTCAGAAGGTGAATACTTAAGCCCTTAAAAAATTGAATATCAGATTTGCCAGGGGCAGACCCCTAATGTCAAATTTCAAAAACAGCAGTATTCCAAAAGAGGTGAAGGAAAGCAGCATTACCAGGGTTCAGCATTCACATCGGTTGGGAGGGTTTGGAGAATTCTCAACAACTGTGAAGCAAACATCCACCACAATCACAGACCGTGCCTGTCACAATAAATGGGGTTAGGTTAATGTGTATTAAGTGGTCAACTTAAAAAGGAATGAGAAGATTTCAACTCACTGGAACGATAAAAACTACCGACCACCAATCAATCTTCACTAATTACTAAATTACTAAAGAATACTGTACATTAAATTTTAAGAGTATTTTTCCAATACTCTCAAATAAAAGAGAGTCTCCTAGTGCATGGGAAAGAAATAAAACTACTAACTAAAATTTTTGAACTCCTAAAACACCCAGAACTAGCATCACAGAAAGAAAATCAACATGGGTATAGTTTTGGGACTTAAAAGAGATTCAATATGTTAAATTTAGGAGTAATTTTTACCCTGATTTTCCCTTTTTCCCCCCTGTCCATGGACTTCTTGAGTTATAGTTATAGAACAATATGGGCAAGACTCACACATACACACACTGTCTCAGATAAATAAATAGTAACTTAGTCACAGCCAAAGAGAAAGGACAAGAAATAAGTTTTACTTTAGAAAACTTCCACATCCCTCAGATAGAATTTACACAATTCTTAAATCAAATATCATAGTTGCAACAACCCCACCATCTCTTTTTGTCTGTTAGCTCTGTCTAGATCTACCCATTTGTTTATCTGGTTTTACCCCAAACAGAAAATGTCTCTCCATAAATCTCATGACCCAAACAGAGAAGACCAAAATAAGAAAATCTGAAAGATTCAAATCAGATCTTCAGAAAATATGAAAATAAAACTGATTTATGTACTTAAACAATAACAATTCCACACCTGTTTGATCATAAACAGGCACCCCTTTTCTCTAATTTGCTTCAGACCAGGCAATCCAATCCGTACTGCAAAAGACAAAGCTCAGCATCTATCATATATTATGCAAAACAATATGAAAACTAAGATGTTTTAGAAAAATAAAAGTAACACTCACAAAACATGCAAAATAATCATTGTCTTCTATTAAAAAACAGAGTAGATCAGCATACAGGGCTGCAAGAAGATTGATTGAAGGATCTAAAGTTTAGAAAACACACACGGGTAGAGAGAATGGCATGTAAAAAAAATTCATATGCGTCAGAGAGAGAGAGAGAGAGAGAGAACCTTAGCTCTGTGTGGAGTAAAGAAAGAGACAATACAAAAGCAAATTAAAGAGACGATAATCAAAGCTCAGCCGGCGACAACACCAAATGGATGCCGTTTAGTTTGCTGTACAGCAAAAAAAAAAAAGGAGAAATTGAGAGAGACAGAAAGAGAGAGCATGAAACAAGTTTTTTCCCCAAGAGAGAGAAAAACTAAGGGGCAATAAACTAATCTAAACCCTAGATATCCAGTTAAAAAGGTCAACTGTCTCTTTCTTCTTTCTCTCTCTATGCATACACACATATATATCTATCTCTGTAATTAATATGTACAGATACAAATGTATATCGCTCCACAACACTCCTCCACTAAGGAACCCTAATTAATAGACAGTTTACAGCATTAAATATCGGCCACGCCCTCGCACGGACCCAATCAAAATCAAAATCAAAATCAAAACTTTCCATTTCTCTCTCTCTCTCTCTCTCTCTCAAACTTTCACCACTCACCTGCACATAAACTTTCCATTTTCTCCACCGCCAACTCCGCCTCCGCCGCGGATTCCGACGCTATATAATCAGCATCTAGCATAAAGGCGTTTTCCGGTGGCGCTGTAGAGTGGGCTGACTTCGAGATTGTGGAGGAAGAAGGAAGAGAAAGTCAAAGGAGTGTTTGGTTCGCCGGAAAGTTAAACAAAAGGATCAGGACAAAAAGATTAATTGTCAGATATATTAATTCCAACTGTGAATATCTTGTTACTTTAATAATACTTCTATGAACAGATCTTGATCATGAGAGTCCATGACCTTCAGCTAACGCAACAGCTTAATTTTTTTTAAAAATTTTTTTTTTCCTTGGGGACCATTTATAATATTTTATTAGGTCTTTTTTTCTATCATTGCCACCCGCTTCTTCTCTTTTAATTAAAACATTAAATCTTATTTTTTAAAATTTAGCATTTTACATTATCGAAACTAATTGACTGATTTAGAACGATCATTTGTAGGATTTAGATTGACAGATCATCTACCATAAAAGAGTGTGGGATCCATTTAAATTAATGGCAGGTGATCTGTTAAGAAGATAATTGAACACAGATCATGTATTGTAGGGGATTTCAATCCTCATTTGTAAGGGTACAATTAAATAAATAAATAATTAATTATAGGTACTTTTAAGGCTGTGGCATAACAGTTATAAAGTCCAACCATGGAAGTCTAATTGTCAACCTCATTTGTAAGGGTACAATTAAATGTCTTAATTGTAACTAGTCTAGCAATGAAGGGAACTATCCGATTTCATTGATACACAAAGCAAAATTCACCATTGAAAAAAAATAAAATATTATATATATATATATATTTTTATGTATACCTCGGATCCTTAATTGCGAGTTGATATAGGTTAAATTTGCTTTTCGGCCAAGATAATTATAGAAAATTTTAAGGCTATGGCATAACAAATTATGGAAATTTTGAAGCCTTTTGGGCTAAAGATTAAATATTGAGTGATTAGTGAAGAGCTTTTGAGTGTTTTCCGTTCACCTTTTCATGTTAGTTTCAAAGAGCTTTTTGAAAGAGAGAGAGAGAGAGAGAGAGAGGGGGGGGGGAATATATATATTTAGATATAGATATATATTATTGGGGGTCTGACTGAAATTCCCTGTCATGTGGTTTGTTAAATCAAGGTCAAACATTTTAAGAATTACACTAACTTTCTCTGAACCGTTAGACAGTTTTAGCATAATAGAAATGAGTAAATTTAGATATTTTTAATTTAAATATTGATAATTTATTTGGGTTAGGTCATATAATTTATTTTTCATGAAATAACTTAATCTTGATATAAACGGTCTATTTTTGACTGGACCGAAAAAAGATTACTCAAGATGGGTGCAGTTGACAAGGACACGACAACTCTCAACATTAAACCAAAAAAATAAAAATAAAAACTCAATATCGAAAAACGAATAAAACTTTATCAAATCGAGTATATTATTTTTTTTTAGTAAATATCAAGTAATAATTTTGTATATTTATATTTGAAGTAGAAAAACAGTTACATTTGTTGACAAAGTTGTTGTGGTCCCTACTATCGATATCAAAAGTTGTACCAACTTTTCTAATTTTAATGCTACCAATTACAAAACACTAATTTTTTTTTTATTCTCTACCAAAGTTATATAATAAATACACACACAAAAAACACACACTTCTCTTTTTCTAACATGCACGAATAGATCATCTATTATTAACTTAAGTTTGATCCAATATTTTTTAATTGATTTATATCAACACATGATAGATGATTTATTTTTCAATAATTTTTTAAAAAAACATTGTATTAGGATTAATATAAATCTTCAGAATCTCCTTGTGAAAACTCGACTCAATTGCAGAAATTTTTAACTTATATCTTCTGGTGCAATTTTTTTTTCATATTCAAAACTATTGTTTTTGTTATAAAAGTGTAATTTAAATTCTTCTTTTAGGTATAAAAGTGTATTGCGTATTCTATGACGGATTTAGATCCTAAAAATTATCCAAATTCAAAAATAAAGACGGTGCACATCCGTCCAAATGATCCTCCATTAAAAAAAAAAAAAAA